TGATTCCAATATCTCTGCTGATGAATCAAAGTGGATGGCATTTACCTTTTTTGTTGAATGCCAATATTTCATGAGTTCCTAAAGTAGTGTGTTCATGCCTGAAGTGTGTTGACTGTAACACATTTTGGCAGTCAATTGGGCTAAGGATTTGGTGGGTGACGACCACAGATGTTCAAATGCACCCAGTCGTAATGTGCAACAAATGTTGCTGTTCCATTCCAAACATGAAAAGAGGACTATCACTGGAGGTAGTCTACAATTATTTCCGAACAGATTTTCCACAAAAATTTCCATTCCATTTAACTTTCAACCAAAATTTCTGGATTTTTTTTACTAAATGGGAAGCACCTTAATTTTTCAGAAAAGCCATTAATATCTGGAAATTGAAGGCTACCTCCAGAGGTAGCCTGCAAATGGAACAGCAGAAATTTCCTTACCATTTGCTAAATTTTCCAGTTTCCAATCTCTTATCAGCTGAAAACAATTGGAAATGATAAGTGCCATCTCATTCAGCTGGTTTGCTGATTTTAGAAAAAACTGTTACCATTACTCACCTGATTTATTAATCAGTAAATTGATTGGATGCATTCATTCTTTAGCCAATTAAAAAGATTTTTCATTCTTTTCCTATCATTACGAAAGGAGATTTTTCTTGAATTTTGAGTAGTATTTTATTTCATTTTCATAGATGACAGCTCTTCACAAAGCCATAGAGAAAGGCAATGAGGAACTTGTTGAGGCTCTGCTGGAGAAAGGAGAAGATATCTGCAGCACTGATCATGTAAGACAACAAGGAGATGAATTATTGAACATATTCATCAAACATGCAATAACTTGAATTTTCCCTTCAACTCCCAAGATTTGATTGCAAATTTTACCTTCTTCCTGCTATACATTTCTTTGTAAGTTAGTTATAAGCATTTTGTGTTAGATTAAGTAAACAACTTCTACCTGATAAGTTTGAGTATTCTCATAACCTGTTTGCTGGATAATATATGGATATTATAATGAGGAGTTACATGTTACTCACTTCTGGGTTTCAAAGGTTAAACTCTGCTTGGGAATGTGAGAATTGCAATGGCCCAAGGGTTAGCTTACTTCTGGGTTGATAGGTGTAGGTTCGTGTCTTAGCTGGGTGATTTGACCTTGTGTACCAGTCATGACTTGTACCGATAGTCATTTGGTACTCAGTTGATCTGTATCCAGCCAAGACCGTTCATTTTTATTCAGTTTAGTCATTTCATACCCTCACTGATAAAGTATGTTTGTTAAGTATATATATCTTATTAGACGTTTTGTTGTGTAGTATTGCTGAGTATTTTTACGAGTTGTACCATACTTTGACAAGCCCATAGGGCGAGTCAAAATACAAATAACAAGTAAAAATACTCAGCGATACTACACAACAAAACGTCTAATAAGTTATTTATTATCCAACACGCCAAACTGTTATTTCAGTGCGGGCGAATTTCGCGGATATTTATTTACGGGGAGTGCGTGACAGAAGTATGNTGGTTATAACATAACCAAAGTAAAGCGCGCGCTCTGATTGGTCAATTTAGCGTCCCCCATTTGCCCATGGGTGTACGCTGCTGACGTGAGCAAATGCAAAGACTATTTTTCCGCGCGCGCTTGTTTTTTCTGGTCACGTAAGATTTGTTAAATAAAAGGGAACTCTTTAGCTACAATGTATCAATGTTATGTTATAAAACAAATGGTAAACACCACAGCGTACACTATTGAGTTATGGATGCACGCGGGAGGTTGCTAAGCACGAAAGAAGCGTAAGAGTCGCTCGAGGCGATAGCCGAGAGCGACTCTAGCTTCTTGAGTGCTTAGCAAACCTCCCAAGTGCATCCATAACTCAATAGTGTACGCTGTGGTGTTTACCATTTGTTTTATAACATAACATTGATACATTGTAGCTAAAGAGTTCCCTTTTATTTAACAAATCTTACGTGACCAGAAAAAACAAGCGCGCGCGGAAAAGAGTCTTTGCATTTGCTCACGTCAGCAGCGTACACCCATGGGCAAATGGGGGACGCTATATTGACCAATCAGAGCGCGCGCTTTACTTTGGTTATGTTATTTTCTATGTCGGATAGAAAGAATTGCAAGTCTGCAACGCAGCTGGAGTGATATCTTATCAAGCAATAACCACTTTTTCTTGATATACATGTAAGCTCTACTCAATATAGATTTGCTGAACAGTCTAGAATATTCTATATGAGTACAACATACAAACCAGTATCAGTATAACTGAGCAGTGACAAGGTAAGTAATGGAACATTCTGGAATGTTCTGGAGTATGCTAGAACATTACTCTACAAAAGGTCTGAGATGTATAATGGTGTCAGCCGAATTTCCTTTAACGTCTTGTAGTACCATATATGGTCAGGCAGAAAGGTGATTAGTGGAAAGATAGAGTTTGTTTTAATACCAAATTCTCAGAACTGAATTCTAAGGAATGTTCAACTTTTTATGAGTGACTGAATAGTCTGTTCTTCTCTGTCTCCCTTTTTGTCTCACAGCAAGGCCGCACACCACTGGACCTAGCGAATGAACATGGTAACCAAGAAATTTTGAAGTTACTGAATGATCCCTCACAAGCTAGCGAGGTCAGTTTGCCATATTAGAACTAAAAATTTTCATTTATTTCTCGAAAGGTTATCTTGTGCTTGTTGTTTTGAAAATCTTTGATACTCTTTTAGATCTGGGGCTGAGTTGTTCCTGGTTTTGCCTCGGGGCACAAAATATGAGAGAGGAATAGGGAAGAGTTGACAAATAGTGGAAAGGAACAAATTCTCTCTGTTTCTCTTACCTTCTCCCTACCCAACATACCTTCCATTCCCAAACCGCCTGTATCAAGAGTCGCATATTAAGGAAAAGGGGCGTAAGTCAAGGTGTAGAATTGTGGGATGTGTTTGGGGAAGGGCCTGTGTTCATTTTTCAAAGGGCTTTCTATAGTCCAGCGTAACCTTGATTTAGTATATGCATTTCATATGCTTTAAGATACTTAATGGTGATGTTAAGTTGGAAACTCGAAGTAATCTGGTCAACGGTAGTCTCGCATATCATTCTGCAATTGCGTATACGTACTTACATTATTTTCCTTGAACAAAAATCTGTCACGTCTCAGAACATCAAACCCACAATTATTTTACAGGGTATGCGATGAAATCAACTTGTTTTCTAACTTCATTATGATTAATGGATTCTCTGAAATTCTTTTCAGTTTCTGGAAAAAGCACAGCTAGGTGAGAGTACCTTTGTGGAATTAGATGGCTATAAGTCATATGCAAAATGTCTGAAAAATTAACACATTGTTAAGTTTACTATTGTGTTAAGATATTGTATGGCAAGATTCCTTTTATTGTTCTTGCGAATTTTCCGCGAAAACTCGGGGGAGATTTCGCGGAAAAAAATGAGGCTTGCCTTTGTAAGCGCCATTTTTCTAAGGCAAGGAGTGCGTCTTTTCGGTGGTCGGTGCGCGAAAATTTATCTTAGGAAAGACATAACAAATCGCTACGCGAGCTATTCGATTTGCAAGTCATGTGACGCGTAAGGAACATTTTCACATGTATCCTCTTAGCAAACCCTTTAACTCCCATGATTTACTAAGAGAGAATTTCTCTTGACCATCTCCATACAATATCAAGCAGACAAGTGATGAGAATAAAGAAAAATTTTGATTGGGGATTATTAGTTGATCCATTACCACATTTTTTCGCAGCAAAACTGTTCTCTTGTTTAACATTTCAGCTGCTCGAACAGTTCAGGGTGATGTGAAGGTCCAAGATGAGGCGTCGGCAGCTATGGGACCAGGAGCTCGAATGAATTCGGCACAAGCTAACACTGCAAAGTAAGGGTAGCAGTCCTCTACATCTTCAAGGTTTCTTGAGTGCTTAGTAATCCTCTTTTCTCTGGTTCCCACAACCCCTACCCTTGGCCCCTCGTTCTGTTCAGCAGAGTGTTATTGAGATAGTTGAAACGAGCGTGTTTATTGAAAGAGAAAGTGAAGTGGCTACATCATAACGAACTTTAACGGCAAAACAACTTTGACGTTTAAGGGAAGTACCGTCTCACTTTTTTTCTTGTTTTTTGCATTCTAGGTTTTAGTCAGAAAAGTTTTTGAAAATTTTTTTTAACTTTGCATGACATTTATTAAAATGTGCTTTCGTCATCTCAATTTCTAGAAAGATTCTTTTAGCTCCTTCAAGTCACATTTTGTAGTTTCCCAACCTTGCACGTCAACTAACAAGGCGCTTCCTCACAACCCCTCAGCAGTTGTAGAAGAGATTTTAACCCGTGATATTTTTATTATAGTGCGCCCCAAGAGCGGTCGCACACTGGTGGAACTCAATGTACGGTTGACATGATAGGTGGTTGTGCATCTTTAGGCGATAACAGGGTGACCAATGTGAACACGGAACAATCAAGGTAAATTATGTCTGTTGACTACTGTATCAAATAATTCGATTAAACATAAAATTGGTGTGCTTTTTATTTTTTTTCTTTTTCATTCAAGGTTTAGTCACAGAAATGTTTTGAAATGTTTTTTAAACTTTGCACTACATTTCTTAAAATGTGCTTTCGTGATCTCATTTTCTACAAAGGTTCTTTTAGCTCCTTCAAGATATATTTTGTAGTTTCCCAGCCTTGCACGTCAACTAACAAGGCGCTTCCTCACAACCCCTCAGCAGTTGTAGAAGAGATTTTAACC